CTTTTCCTTCTTCCATCCCTCCCTCCATCCTTTCTAGAGGATGATCACTCTTTGGTCTTTAAATTTATGGCTGTTTATTCTCCAGTCCAGGAAAATTTGAGGACTGCCTGGGGGTCTCTGGGACAAGAAGATGTAATGTTGACTTTAATGAACAAATGGTATCCGGAGGGGAAAAATCTTTTAAGTGTCAGAGTTTGATAGAGAATTTGCCTGTGGGGTGTCTAGGAACCTGGACAGGGAAACATGTCTTGTCCTTATGGGAAGCAGGGGTGGTTCCTCAGCCTTCCAAAATGAACTGGCTTGGGGAGTGGCTTCAAACTTAAGGTAACGTACATTTTTTTTTTGTCATTGGCAGATTATTTAAATAAAACAATCACATTTTCAGAAAGGGAGGATTGTAGAATATGCAACAGCAGAGACAAGAATATCCTAACTGAATATAAATGTTCATAATGTCCTTGGCTTTTCTTTCAGGGAGATAAGGAATCAGAGACTTTTTGCAAATGGTATTGATTATAGATATATATAGAAACAGAGAGAAATAATAATGATGGATATATATTTCCTCCATCATTATGTAAAGTTACATATTACATTATGTACAGTATATATTATATTATATTGTTATATTATGATGGAAGAAATATGTATCCATCAATATTATTTGTATCATTGTCAGTCACTTCCTAGCTCTTTGAACACAACAGAAAGTTGTATAACTTCTAGCCTCAGTTTATTTTTCTAGAAAATTGGCACGATGACCTACACTTGCAGAGATGTTATAAATATTAATGTGACGCCTCACTCTTGGAGCCACTCTGTACTTGACCAGCTTACTTGGAGCATCTTGAATACAATGACCCTGCTTCTGGTTCCCCAAGCTCTGTGCCAGGCACGTAGTAAGAGCTTAGTGTGTGCTTGGTGAGCACCACTTGAAGAGAATTCTGCCTTTCATTCTTCACAGTCTTCCAGAAAGGCACCATCTACTGACATCTGATGTGCCAAGTGTTTGTGCTTGGGCTGAGGGTCTCCATTCCTCATTGATACAACTCAGAGTCTTCCTGGAGAGACCTCTAAAAGGTAGTTAAAGTGCTTCCAAATGCAGTGTAATCTCCAGAACATGTTCTTAGATATTCAGTGAGTAAGAGAATTCCTCCTTGGCAGTGCTTTCTCTTCCACTCCATCATGCATAGCAAGCATGCTCTTGGATCTTGTGTCTTCAAGAAAAGCAAATATGTGGATCTCAGAACAAATTTAGAAAGACCTAGCCTGCTAGTCACCCACATGGCAATGATAAATAAAGAGCCTCAGGGGTCATAGTTATCCAAAACTTCTTTCTCTGGAATTCTTGAGTTATGACTATTAAGTTGCTCGTTCTTTCTTTCTTCATGGTTTCAATCAACACTCTCCTTTTCAGTGCTTGCTGTTTGCCACACGCTGTGCCACAGAGGTTTCTCCCTTGAAGCCCCAAATATTTTATGTCAACAGGTTTGATAAAATCAACCAAAACAATAACTTTCTAAAAAAGCTATATCCATGCTGTCTTCTGTCATTTGAAAGTGAGGTCCCTGAACACCATCCCATTTTTATCATGATTCAGGGCTATCCTTATGCACACAGTAAAATCCCTTGTAAAAGGGATTGTAGTGAGAACTTCCGTTTGCCTTATTTATCAAATGGCACCGCATTGCATTCTTTTAAAATCTGTTTTACATAGTTTTATGCCTTCTCCACTTCCTGATTATGACCTATGATCACCAGTGTCCCCACCTTCTTGTCTACCTACTTGTAATACATTTTCTATTTTTTAAATTTTTTTTATTTACCTGGGCTTGGGAGTGAGAAAACCAGGAAGGGAAGAGTAACGTGTGTCGTCAAAAATATCAATGGACTAGAGTTGCAATTCTTATCTGACACATACTAGTTATGCCGCTGAGCAAATAACTTTAAATCTCTGATCTTTATTGTCCTCACTTTAAATTGGGAAATTTTTCAACCCCGTCTTGCAACATTGTTGAAGATATTAGCCATGCTGCTTACCAAGCTCTAGCTCAGTGGCCAAAGTGCTGCCACTGTTGGAGTACACGGAATCCTTCCTCCCCTGAATATGCTGCAGCATACGTCTTAAATGTCCAGGTGCATCTCTGCTTTCTGTACCTTGGCTAATAATAATAAAAGGGGTGAGTTACGGAAGCCATACATTTTAGGTCCATTACCTTCTCTAACCCTCACAGCAAGGTGGTGATGCTGGCGCTGCAGTGCTTATTTTGCAGATAAAAGCATAGCAGCTCGGGAGGTTAAATAGCTTGTTGGAATCACATAGCTAGTAAGTGACTCAATCCTATGTTCCTGACACCCAAATCACGAATTATTTCACTGCAGTGGACTTCCTCTCTGGGAATAAGACAGGTTTGCAGATTGGAGTAATGGATCATGGAGGTGTAACTCTACCAACCCCAGGAGGCAGCCAGCTGCTCTGAACATTGATTATCTTTGGCAGACCATCACATTTGAGGCCATGAAAGATTCAGGTATTGGGACAGGGCAGATTGGTTCTCTTCTACACCTCTGAGCTCAGTGCTTGGGGACCAGGGTCTGCTTGATATTTTGAGGATCTAGCTCTCGGCCTTCCTGCAGGGTGGCAGGTATAATGTATTTAAGATATGCTGGACTGCTCAGGTGAGAATTTATGTAAGCTGGAATGATTAGGTGGCTTAATTAATCAAGGCGTTTAACTCATTAGCCTTCTGCTCCTGGGACTAATAAATCTGAACCCAGTGCTGCTAATCACAAAATAAGTCAAGTTTCGCATTTTGTCCCTCTCCTCTTTAGTGGAGTGATGAGAGAGAACAGGAGAAATGGAATAATAACAAACCCAGAGAAATGATGATTGGCAACATCAAAGGGTGAAGTTGAGAATTCCAAGCCTAAGTCAGGATGACATGGGAGAGTGTGATGACACTGGTGTCTAAAAGGAACCCGGGATGTCACTTGGTCATCCCCCAAGGATGCCAGTGTGGGATGGCCACATCCAAGCCATCAAATAAACTTTTGTCTGTTGGGTGACATCCTGTCATAGTATTTGGGAATTGACTTGCTCAGAGCTACAACATGGAATGGAAACTACCGGAGGCCAAGCCTCATCTCTCTGCTTACAAGTGAAGCATGTGCATTGCCTTCTAGTTGCTCAAGCTCACTTATCTTACTTGCTGGGCTTTCGAGATGAATGGCATTCTATCATTCTCTTATCTTGTCACCAAAATAGCTTACAAAATCATGTCTCTTCCTCTAGTCTCACCATTTCTTCTCCAACATAGCAGCCAGACTTATCTTTTTAAAATAGAAATCATGATGTCATCTCTCAGCCTGAAATCCTTCAGTACCCTCCCATTACCTTCAACACCAAGTTCAAATTCATTAACATGCCCAGCCAAGTCTTTAAGTTTCATCTCCCACTCCCACCCTCTCTAGTCCTCTCTTCCAGGAAGGGCAGGGTGCTCATAATAGTATGGAACAATTTGCATTTTCCTAAACATTCCACCCTCTTCCAGCAGTCTGTGCCCTAGTGTACTCTATTTTGTTTAGAATGCCCTTCCTTTTCAGTTGGGAATATTCCTTCACTTCCATCATTTGAGGGCTCAGACATCACCTTCTCAGTCAAGCTCTTCTTGACATCTTCAGGCTTCAAAAGGCTTACTTGGGGTCCTGCTGTACGCTTCATAAAGACCTTACATTTATCCTGGGTGCTCACCTCTTTGCATGTCTGTCTTCCTTTCTAGACTCCCAACTCCTTGGGGTCAGGAAGAGTGTATTACTAATCATGATAAGCAGCCTGGTATGTGTTTGAATAACTCTGAATGGTGCCCAGCAGCTTTCTAAGATGGAGTGACACTGTCTGGCATTCTGTTATCCCAGATGTGGACCAAGCTGAGATCCAGAACAAAAGTGGAGCCCACAGAGGCCATTGAAAACAAGAGGATGGTAAAGAGAAGCCGATATTAGGAGAGAAAATCTGGGGTGAGGACAGTATCCTCCAAGGAGGATTTTATGGGGTTTTGCCACATGTTGTCCAATGAAAAACATTTCTCTATCTTCCCATGACATTTTCAGCAAAATAGCTATTTCTTGTTAATCTATGGTAAGTCAGCTCTTCTGGAGAGTATGTGACAAGTGCTTTCATGATTTTAAGGTCTATCTTGGGACATCCATCACATCTGCATTGCTCTTACCTCAATAACTGTAAATAATAGCTTTAGTGATCCTTCCTCATGTGCCAGTACCTGCTAGGCACTATCCTTGCACAGTTTCATTCAATACTCAGAGCTGCCTTGGGAATAAGTATTATTATTAATATAACTCTTATGGTGATATAATTGAAAGGAAGACAGAATAAAAGATGTTCCCAAGGTCACATACTAAGTGGGAAACTGGGACTTGAACCCAAGTCAATGTGAAAGAAAAATCTATGTTGGTAACTGTTCTCCTAGGTCCCACCTTGGGACAGGGCCCTGGTGCATGGGCTTTCTCGACCTCAGTAGTCCGAGGATGGCAAGAGAAGTGATTATGGGCTGTCTGGGGCCAAGCGGGGAGGAAGACCTGCTGGGAGGTGTGTGGCTTCAGGATGCATTACAGGTATGCTCCTGCTTCTCATGAAACCAGAGACTTAACCAAACCACCATTGAGATTTCTGAGGCTGCAATAACCTTCCTAGTGTTTTGATATTTTTTCTAGTTTTGTCTTTTCAAAAAAGGTAGAGAAAATGACAGGGAACTTTCTCTGTCAAGGCCCAAGAGCCCAAATCAGCCTGAATAAGAGAGAGGTAGAGGGAAGAAACCTTGTTTGAAATGTGGTTTTGTTCTAACCTAAATAGGATGAAAGGAAGCCTGCAAAGTTTGTCATCGAGAAGGCAGGAAGTAGCCCAGAACAGAAGTTATCTACGCAGTAATGTAGCCACTTGCAGCAATTCAGCAAATAAAATCTTCTATGTACAGACACCCTTCAGAGTTACAGTAACTTTTTATAGAATAAACATTGCTCACAAGCCAGTGGGTTTGGTCATAGCACTGGCCTCCCCCCTTGACTCTGAGGCCTGCCCTTGATACCGTAGCTGATATTCCTGAGTCTCAGGGTCTCCATCTCTCTATGAGGGCTCTAGTTCCAACTCTGAGTGGTTGTTAGGGTTATGAGACATTGGTGGAGGTGCTTTTAAGAGACCATCATGTTTGGTCTAACCCTTTTGTTTTGCAGGTGCTGATTCCTTCCACTCATTGAGAGGGGAAGGAGCTCATCTGAGATCTCATGGCAATCTCATGTCAGCCCCAGGACCACCAGAACAGAAGTCACACCCCTCTCACTGGTGACCCAACTCAAGGTCTGTGTCTTTTTCTATTTTTTAATTTTTATTTTATATTGGAGTATAGTTGATTTGCAATGTGTTAGTTTTGGGTGTACAGCAAAGTGAGTTATACATATACATGTATCTATTATTTTTCAGATTCTTTTCCATTATAGGTTATTGCAAGATATTGAGTAGAGTTCCCTGTGCTATACAGTAGGTCTTTGTTATTTATTTTACATATAGTAGTGTGTATATGTTCATCACAACCTCCTAATTTATCCCTTCCCCTCTTTCCCCTTTGGTAATCAAAAGCTTGTTTTTGAAGTCTATGAGTCTGTTTCTGTTTTGCAAATAAGTTCATTTGTATCATATTTTAGACTTCACATATAAGTAATATCATATGATACTTGTCTTTGTCTGACTTACTTCACTTAGTATGATTATCTCGAGGTCCATCCATGGTGCTGCAAATGGCATTTTCTTGCCCTCAAGGGTGCTTCTTCACATTTACTCCAGGTTAGTGACCCACTAGATATGGGACAACACAAAAACAGTTCCTCTGAATCCTGTCATCTCCAGTACTGTGGTCACGAGCCACGTGTGGCTCTGGAGCACTTGAAATGTGACTGGTCTGAATTGAGATGCACCGGAAGTATCACACATGCACACTGGGGTTTGAATACTTAGCACACAGATAAGAATGGAAAATCTCTCATTCGTGATTTTAGATGGTTTACAGATTGCAATAATATTTTGGATAAATGGCGTTTAATAAAATATATTATTAGATAATCTCACTTGTTGCATTTTATGTTCTTTGACTATGTGGTGAATAGAAAATATAAAATTACATATGGGCTTCTCATTATATTTATATTGAATAGCACAGCTGTAGCCCATCTTTTTTTCTCTCTCTCTTTGTTCTATTTTCAGGAAAAATACTCCATCTCTGTTTCTTGTTTGTTTGTTTGTTTTGTTTTCCTGCCACCGTCCTCGCTGTCTCAGTTTTACTCCCCACAGAGTTTTCTGTAGTGACAGTAATAATAGTTTGTGTAATGATTAGGGTAATTTGTGAAACTCTATGTTCTCATTGGTTCTCTTCCTTACAAAATGCACCCATAAGATTTCTTGTCCAACGTACTTTTGCTTGCCATGTCAGGCTGCTTCTGCACCCATGAACAGTCATGGAGAATTCTCTGGAGATTGTCTTCAGTGAGTAGCCATCCCAAGATCAAATTCAGAGGAGGGAAAGGTCACACTCTCAAGCCAGCCTCATTCTACTTCCTCCAACTCTTCTGAAGAAATGCCCTGTATCTCTCCCTCATTGTTGTTTTTTTGAATATATAAAAAACTGTGCATAATGAATGCATACATCTTGATGAGTCTGGAGATAAGTAGACACCTGTGAAACCATCACCACAATCTGTGCCATAAATCTACCCATCACCTCCAAAAGCATTTCCTTGACCTTTTGTGTATAACAATTATTATTATTACTTATAATAAGAATGCAACATAATATCTGTCCTCTTAGCATATTTTGGACATGATGTTTTACAATAGATCTCTAGGACTTATTCTTCTTACATAATTGAAATCATGTACCCTCTGACTAATACCTTCCTGTTCCCTTCTCCCCCCAGCCCCAGGAAACCAACATTCCACTTTCTGCTTCTATGAGTTCTATTTTAGATTCATCCTATAAACAATATCATGCAGTACTTGTCCTTATGGAAAACGGTGTGGAGTTTCCTCAAAAAACTACCATACGATCCAGCAATATAACTTAGAACTACCATGTGATCCAGCAATCCCACTTCTGGGTAAATATACAAAGGAATTAAAATCAGGATCTCAATGAGATACCTGCATTCCCACATTTATTGCAGCATTATTCACAATTCCAAGACATGGAAGCAACCTAAAAGTCCACCCAGAGATGAATGGATAAAGACAATGTGGTGTATACATACAATGGGGTATTACTCAGCCTTAAAAAGAAGGACATCCTGCCATTTGCAACAACATGGATGAACCTGGAGGACATTTTGCTAAATGAAGTAAGTCTCCATCACCTTGGACCTGAGATGGTGCAAACACCCTGAGTTCAAAGAGTGGTTTCCTCTTCCTGTTTCCTCTGACTGTCTCCACGCGGTTTTGTTCTTTGTGACTCACTTAACCATTGTAACTGGCTGCAACCTGATTAACTCATCCACTCATTTGTTTGGCAAAGACTTACTCTACATCTCATAAATACCAGCTACTGAACTAGTGGCAGAGGATGCAGAGATGAGCTTGATTTGACCCTTGGCCTCAAGGAATCATAGACAAGTTGAGAAAGCAGACTTACAAACACAATATTATAGTAGGTCAAGGCATCATTTGAGTTCACAAAGCAGGGGAACCTAACCTATCCTAAGGGGTAAAAGAGAAAGCTCCCTAATGATGTGTTGGGCAGAGTAGGAAGGATGATGAGGACTTAGCTGGCTTATTGTTATGATTATTAGTATTACCGTCAACACCATTATCATCATTTTAAAGGCAGAGGAAAGGCATCTCTGTCCAAGGAAACAGTAACTGAAAAGGCATGAGCTCGAGCAAGAGGATGAACAATTTTAGGAGCCAAAGACACTCTGATGAGGTTGGTTGACCATGAGCTTGGGGAGAATGGGAGGGAGTGGGGAAGAGGAGCAGGTGTGAGCCAGCTTCTGGAGGCGCATAAACCAAGCTTAGTAACTCATCCTTAACCCTAAACCTACTACGAAGCCACACATGGCACTCATAAAAGTGTGTGTAGCAGTCAGCCTAGCATTATGGACTGATTACTTTGGGAGCCAAGAATGAGGAGTGAAATTGCTCCAACCCTATGTACAGAAAGCAGAACAGCCACATGTCCACAGGGTCAGACTGACTTGTCTTAGAGACTCACCTACCAGGTATTTGCAATTCATCTACTTCCCTGTTATCTGAAGGAGACACCTCCTGGAAGTCCAGGGGCTGTCCATAATATTATTTCCCACAGTCCCACCAGGCATAAAGGATTACATGTATGTTTTCTCTCCTTGATGATGAGGGCAAAGGTGCTGGGTCAGACAGGCGCCTTGGGGAACCAGAGCAGACTTGGGGGATCTGTCCTTCCCAGCCCCAGAGAGACTGGCTTGGTTCAGGGACCCCTGGGGCCCTGTCTATGAAGTGACTTTTCTCATTTCCCTTTGATCAGGCAGTTCATGGCATATTTGGAAGGACAAGGAGTGATTTGTCTTGCACATGTGTTTTCATTTATTCCTCAAAAGCAGAGCTAAAACATTAAGCGAGAATACAATGAAGTCCAGTGGGCAGACAAGCTTCAAACAGTCTCAAAGGGTTTATCTAAGATAAGCTCGCTTGTTTATAATCCACATTTTTTAAAGTAGCTTATGGAAAATACAGCATGGCTGGATAAATAAGGATGAAAGTGAAATAAAATGATGCCAGGCTGGAGGTCAATTCTGGAAAAGTTTGCCGTACATTTCTGAATAATTCACCAAGAGAGGGGGGAGGCTTGAGCTTGAGCTTCCTAGCAGCCAATGAAATAAGTGACAGCGTTTGATAGGGAGAAGGTGGGTGTAAGAACACTTACTCTTGTACTTAGAGCTGAGAGAAATCGCATTGCTAGTTCTTCACAAAGCACACATTTTGTACTTAACACTGTCTTTAGTAATATCCTGATCACAATCGGATTATAGGTTTCAGAGGATTATTTTAAATAATATAACTTTCTTCTATTTAAACACTATCCCTTGAGCATCTCTGATGTATAAGTGTGGTAAACTGCAATAATGGGCTCAATATTTACTGTCCTTCCTTGTCCCTGCCTGCTGCCATGGAGTGTGCAGGGTCTCATCCCATAAGAACATATGCTCCCCGATCCCACTGATACCAAGTTTTGCCACATGATGTGCTTTGGCCAATAAAATGAAAGTGATCCTGAGAACCACTACAGGGTTTTGTCATCACTCTTTTTCCTCTGTCTCGAGAAGGTCAAGCACCAGAGAGGGACTGCATATTCAGCCTGGATCTCAGTACAAAGGTAGAAGGAGGGGTGCTGCTGTTGACCTACCATTAACATCAATATGAGCAAAAAATGAACCCTTGTAGGGCTTCCCTGGTGGTGCAGTGGTTGAGAGTCCGCCTGCCGATGCAGGGGACACAGGTTCGTGCCCCGGTCCGGGAAGATCCCACATGCCGCGGAGCGGCTGGGCCCGTGAGCCGTGGCCGATGAGCCTGCACGTCCGGAGCCTGTGCTCCGCAACGGGGAGAGGCCACAACAGTGAGAGGCCCGCGTACCGCAAATAAATAAATAAGCCATTGTAGTAAGCTCCTGAGACTTGGGGGCTATTTGTTACTTCAGCCTGACCTAGTAAAAGCTGACTTATACTGCTTTATTGGTGCCTCTGGAGAACACAGAGTTACAAAAATAGAATCCCTATCCTCTGGGAACCTGCAATGTAGTGGGCAAGCTCAAAGTAGATGATTAAAAATTGGCTAAAGGCTATAAGTGCCACTTCATCCAGGAGTGGATACTGAGAGAATGAGTGAGGTCGGAGTAGAGGAGACAAAATAGGAGGTCACATGGAAGGCTGAATTTAGTAGAGTGTGTTCAGGAAGTGGAGAGACAATGTCACAATGGAGCTCTGACTGGGCGGAAGACTGTGATAAGAAATAAATTTGGAAATCAGAGAGAAACTCAGAGAGAGATTCTTAGAGCCTTTGCAACTTTACGTACAGTGTTTGTTGAGTACCTGCTGTGTGCTAGGCATTCTTCTCAGTATTGTACATGTCTTGTCTCATTCAGTCCTCACGACAGCACCGGGAGATGGAGCTTCTAATGCCCATTTTACCCAGATGAAGAAACTGAGGCTTAATCCCAAAGAGGAATGGGTAGTAAATGGCAGAACTAAGACCTGATTCTTATGCGTTCCAAAGCCCATCTCTCCTTTTGCCATGTTCTCCAGGTGTACAGAGAGATAGTGGAAGGTCTTGCATGCTGTGCTAATGACTGTGAACTTCACTGGGTTTGCAGTGGAAAGCTACTGAAGGCTTCTGAAATCAGGAGGAGGGCAATGCTGATCTGGCCCGTGGTTTCAGGAAGATAATGTCATCAGTCATGTAAAGGACAGCTTTAATGTGCTGACCAGGAGCAAAGAACAAGTAGAGTCCAATGGTGACAATTCCATACATTGGTAGCCAAGTAGTCCATTTAGTTATCATATGGGTGAATTTGACTCCAATAGGCCTTGCAAATGTCTACGCAGAAGATCCACAGGCACTATGTCCCAATAGATTAATTTCTTAGAGTTATTTAATGAACAACAACAGTAACAGCCAGTGTCATGAGCCATCTCCTCTTCCTATTTAGGGTAGTTTGCATGCATGTACACTTGAAACAGCAGGGTTGGATCCTATGGACTCCCAAGGGACTTCCCATCTTGCAATTATGATAACCCCCACGTCTTTATTATTCAGTTGGAAAAACCTAATCGAATTTGCTTTGTCCAGATCTCTGATCATTTATCTACCTGATGGAAGAAAAATGTTGAAATTAAAAGTAAAACCATGGGTGTTAGCACTTGGTGGTTTTCTTTGGTCTGCTTTTAGGACTTTTCCAAGGGAAGAAGAGATGAACACTTTATCCCCTCTCCTGGGCATTTGTTCTGTGAAGCAATGGGCAGAGACCAAGCCTCAGAAGGGACCAAACAGGACAGAATGTTCAATACAGAAAAATAAGCAAGGGGAGAGGAGAAAGGAAAATAGGGAATTTTAGCACTTGTGCGGGGGGAGTACTTAGTAAAAATCAACAGGAGGATGCTGTGGGTTGGCGGGGCCCCTAATCATGATTTATATAAATGATCTGTCGTTGTTCCTGCAAAGGCAAATTCTTTAGATGGCATTAACACAGTGGAAAGAATGCATGTTTTCTTCTGATGTTAGGCAGCATTGGTCCCCCAAATAAAGAATTTGAGCATAACTTCAGTGGAAGAACAGTGCCTGGCACCCAGTAAGTAGGTGCCAAATAAATATTTGTTGTTAAATGAATAAATGAGCTGGGCTCAAGGAGGACTCTAAAAGCTATCTTGTATCTAAAGTGTGGTATCATCCTGTGACATTTTAAAGACCATCCCTTGAGGACCACCCTGGACACCCCGAGGCAGCAGCTTGATCATTCAAGGGCAACAGTTCTCAAGGAAGTTAGACCAAGGGCAGTCAATTAGACTTCCCTTTGAACTTGGCTCAATTTCACCTTCAGGCACTTTCACAGCAAAAGGCCAGGCTTCTGACCTCTGAAACATATAATCACTCCTCCTGCCAAAGGGTTCTTTGACTCAACAATTCAAACCTTAGCTCAAAAAAGAATTAGAGAAAGTGAAAAATACCACACACATTAGAACACCAACTAATTATGCCTTCTCCTTTCTTCTTCATCTGGGGACATCAAAGAGAGGTTTTTGGCTGTCAACAGTTGATCTGGGAAGAAGCCTGGCTTGCTTTTTCAGATGTCTTCTTTGGTTCAGGCAAAGGGGTCATTAATGGTAGAGATAGTTGGCCCAGAGCAAGCGACAGAGGGGAAGAGGATGTATGTAGGCAGCCTCAAGGATTCACATTTGATGACTCTTCAGAAACAAGGTCAGAATTAAGATTCTTTAGAAATTTCTCAACTTACTTTCAGCCTCTTGTGTGGGACACTCTGATAAGTGAGCTTTCTATTGGCAAGGAGGGGAGGAAGTGTCAGTGCCATTTTTGAATGTATATTTGGAGATTCTAAGGAAAAAAAATGGGTTTATGCTATTTTTAAAAGCTCTATTTTTGCAGAATAGGTACTAAGCATTACTGCTACTGAAATACATCAACACCTGCATTCTAGCCTCAGTTGGTATTTTGAGGAGCATGCAGACTCTTAGCAGAGAGGGGTCGGAGCTTATGACAAGGTCTGTAATCACTACACTTATTATAGCATTGGCTTTCCCTCAGCGTGGGTTATTTCAAGGCAGTGGACAGATAAACGTGCCAATTCATCATGAAAGAGATATTACAATCAAACATTTTATAACTTACAGAAGCAACTAGCCTGACATTAAATCCAAATAGACCCATTTAGTGTATTTTCCCTATAAGATGCTGAACAATTCTAGTGGAATGACACCAAAACAGATCCCAATATCCATGGATCATAACTGGATTCTCTCATGTTTTGTCAAGTAAATGTACTTTTTGTGTCTTCTTAAAAGATGAGAACAGTGGAAGTTCCCTTTTGTCAACCCTAAATTCAATTCTGTACCATATATCCTGGACAATCCAATATTTTCAAAATTAGAAATTATTGTAAAAAGTATGCATGATGAACAAAATATTAAAAGATTTCAACAGAGGCAGGATCCACAGGGTAAATCAGGGTGAGGTGAGAGAGGTGAGTCCTGCATGTACAGGATTACATCCTGACTTCACTTAAATTTCTGATATTTTGTTCATTGTTGACTTGGGGCATTAACTTTGATGTTTTATGTATTGCATTAATATCCCTATTTTGTCTACCAAGTTTTTTGTCACCCCTTTATATTGTGGAGTGACTCCCTTACCAGTC